TTTCCCCCTCCTCCCTCCCTCCCCTCCCACTCTCCCTCCCCCTCACTTGCCCTTCTTCTCCTCTACCTCCACTTTTCCCTCCCTCCCTCCTTCTCCTCCCTCCCTCCCTCCTTCTCTTCCCTCCTCGTCCTTTCTTCCTCTTTCCCTTGCTTCAATCTCTCACTTGACTTTCCCTCCCTCATCTCCTCGCAGATCATGAAGTTCTTCACCCGTCTTCGCGATGCTCGCAAACTCGTGGTGGGTCATTGATGAGAACGATTGATCACTTTACAATACAAGGGATACCTCTCCTTCCCCGCCTCCTCATCTTACGGTACCTCCACCTGCTCCTCCTCTCCCTCTCCCTCCACCTCTCTCCCTCTCGTCCTCTCCCTCTCTCCCTCCTACATGTCTCTCTTCCTCTGCTCTTTCTCCACCATCACCGCGAACTCTGGCGCCAGCCGCCTGACATACTCGGAGCTTGTGAACCTCGTCGAGTCGTTGATGTTCCCCTGCCTCTCCCCCTCCCCCTCCCCCTCCCCTCCCCTCATGAAAGAAACTTTCTTCTCCTCCTCGCTTCTCCAGCCTCCGCGTCACCCGCGACTCGCAGTACGGTGTCCTCCCCATCTTCTTCCCCAGACTGTGTAGCATGAGAGAGATTCCTGAGCAAACGCACACCTGGCAATCGTCAGCAGCAGAAGGAGGAGGAGGAGGAGGAGGAGGAGGAGGAGGAGGACGAGGAGGAGGAGGAGGAGGAGGAGGAGGAGGAGGAGGAGGAGGAGGAGGAGGAGGAGGAGGACTTGAAGAGAAGAGCAGGGGGAGAAGGAGCGCAAAGAAAAAGACCAGGAGGAGGAGAAGGATGACAAGAACGAGGAGATGTTCGGGTGAGGTGATATAGCAGGGGTACCAGTCCGACACCAGCCTCCAGGAACACCATGTTTAACAAGTTGGAGCTTGGGAAGAGATTGGAAGATCACGTGGACATGCCGTCCTGCTCTCTCTGAAGGAAAGAAAAACATCAGATACAACCTTAACACCATCTTCTCTTTTCCCTCCTCAACCATCAACAGTGTTCTCTACCATCTTCTACGTCACCATCACGGTATCATATCCATCACCATTATTTCCGTTATCGTAATCGATCCCCCTCTTCCTCCCCCCACCTTCGTATCCATCATCACCATCATCGTCGTCATCGTCACGGTATCATATCCATCATTGCCATTATCTCCTCCTCCTCAATCCTCATCCTCATCATATGCATTATCGTTTTCCTCCTCCTCCTCCTCCTGCTCCTGCTCCTGCTCCTGCTCCTGCTCCTGCTCCTCCTGCTCCTCCTGCTCCTGCTCCTGCTCCTCCTGCTCCTGCTCCTGCTCCTGCTCCTGCTCCTGCTCCTGCTCCTGCTCCTGCTCCTGCTCCTGCTCCTGCTCCTGCTCCTGCTCCTGCTCCTGCTCCTGCTCCTGCTCCTGCTCCTCCTGCTCCTCCTGCTCCTCCTCCTGCTCCTCCTGCTCCTCCTCCTGCTCCTGCTCCTGCTCCTCCTGCTCCTGCTCCTCCTCCTCCACCTCCTCCTCCTCCTCCTCCTCCGTCACTCTCTCCTAAGCCATGTTGAACCGGGCAACCGGCGCATGACCCACTAAGGGCATCCAAGGCTTCATCATCGAGCTTCCCATTGCTGATGGTCACAACG